GTGATCACCTAAGAAAGGGACATGCTATTACAGAGAATAAGTTTGGGGTAGAGTCATGCCAAGTCAGTTATCATTCCAGAGTGGCTGTTTCCAGTTCACTCTAATCTCAGTGAAGAGGGAGTCTATCACTAATAGACTTCGTGGCAAAGAACTCCGTTTATGCATTAGATTTTGTGTGGTTGTCAAAATAAGATTTAGGGTTAGAAAATGTCACATGAGCGTTGCTTGATATTCTTAGAGGAGGGAAGTGAAGAAAACAATGAAGAGCTTTCAACCCCCTGGATTATATGAGAAAGGATACTGGGATGTTAGCTTTTCCACTGGGACATTATGATTCCTGAAGTGCTGGTAATTGTCAATAAACAGAAGACAAGAAAAAGGCTTATACTTTTCTCCTGTAAAAAAGGCCCAATAAGTTACATGAAAGGAGAAGATAATATTTCAGTTAAATTTGTAGAAGAAGAAAAATGCAAACTAACATTCAGGAACAAAAGTCCCTAGAATGGAATCTGATAATCAGAGCACCCACAATTCACCTGATGGACACACAGAAGGAAAGAGTTCAGTAAGGATCATTTTATATCTATCACACATCAGGTTTTCTAAACATCTGCAAGTGCTATTTCAGACTTCACAGATAAGTATTGCTTATCTGCTGTAATGTGGATTGAATGAAAGGTGATTTCAGAGTAAAGAATAATTTCAAGGCAAACCACTAACATCAAGGCATCATTTCTGTGCAGTGGAAATTCTTGTAACCACAGATCTGCATTGCTCTTGTGGCACCTGTCACTTTAGCTCTCAGAGAACAGATTGGCATGAAGGGACAACTTGCGGATTGGCATATTAAAAGTTCTACATGGAGAGTCAAATCAGATCACCTAAAATAAGTATCTATCACTGGTCAGCTGACTATTTCCTTGTACTCCCCAGACTCTATTTCCATTGACTAGAGAGAGAGTTTGCTTGCTTTTCAGACAGAGAAACAAATGGTATCCAAGATTGCATTTCACGAATGCTCTGAGGAGCTGACAGAACAAGCAAAGTTCAAGAAGAACTTTCAGCAGCCAGTACTTGCTAAAAAAATCTTTCAGGCACTGACAAAGTGATTTGTGATGAATATCAGTAAAGTCCAAGGGCCAAAGTAACTGTAAAAGTGCAAACAAGCACATGCCTATGTAAATTAAATACAGCACAAAAAGCCTGGAGCTGGTGGTGAGTCTTTTAAAGAAACCGAAGCAGTTTGGTTTTAGTGACTTCAGCACAGCTGGGTCTGAGCCAGGCACAGCCTTTCCTTCTGGAAAGGTGCAGCAGCGTGACGGCAGTGCCACCGTAACACGATGCTGCTTCTCTGGACTCGGGTTTTGTGTTTCTGCCTGGCACCACAGCTCACAATGCAGGCACGTCCGTTCGGGACCTGAGGCTCCTCTGTGATTTATAAGCACACTCTGTGTTTCTGCCCGAAAGCGGGCATCAAAAATCTAAAGTAAGCAAGTTCTGAGCAGCCAATTCAACCACAGCCAAGCTAGGAGAAGATTTTCCTGTGTGAGGAGGAGTGCATCTAATATACTGATGAATGCAGGGCAGGAGAATCCAGTATTCGCCTAATCATCCTATTATAGCCAAAAGCCCCAGAGTCAGAAAGCATGACAGAAAGGGTGACTTGCATTCATGTACTGAACTGTCCATCTGAATCAGAAAACTGCTTCTTAAGAGAACATACTCAATTTTCTGCTACTGAGATTTTGCTGCGTTGCTAAAGACATTTAAATATCCATTTAAACAAAGATAAAACTTCATCTCCTCCTCTTGAAACCATCTGACTACTGAATAAAAGAGGAACATTTCCTCCTTTTTCCCCTGGGAGTGATATCTAGGCCAGGCCTCTCTTGGCATTGTAGAGGTTCCTCAGCATGAACATCAATTCCCCTCAGTTTCCACTGTGCAACCTTTTGACTGGATGAGTCACTGCACACATACATGCATCCAGGCTGCAAATGGCTCTCCTCACAAGTCCTGGGAGAGGGCAGCCTCTCTGTTTGTGACCCTGTGCAATATGGCACACAGCAGGTATTCCAGGTCTACTGATCAGATAGAGAAAGTTTCTTACTGCAAGAGAAGCAGGAGCTCCCAGATAGACACAGAGGAGTAGAGATTTTGCAAAAAAAAATCTGTATTTAAAGTGCATATGCAATGAATTCTAAAGCTTCCCAGAAACTGCAAGCAGAACTAGATATAGAATAGCTACCTGATATACAACATATTCCTTCTACTCTTGGGACAGATGATGGAGTATGGGTAGACAAACCCCAAACTAAATGGTTTTTACATGTAAACAAGCTATTCTTGTCACTAAAACAGATTTTCTGCTCTACTATTAGATAAGCTTGGAACAGGGAAAGACTAAACACCTTGCATTCTAGGAGGTTACTTGGAATATAGGCGTCTCCATACTGCTCTCCTGCCCTTGTGGTTCTAGCTTGAAGTGTCTGGTTTGCATTGCACAGACATTACTGTAGAATAAATTGTATGTATTTCCAGGTACAAGTCTTTCTTATCTGAATTCTCAGGCTAACAGCAGTCACTGTATCACCACTTGTTTCTCCCAACAGCATTTGAATATACAAAATACTGTCAAATTTCAGCTTAGCTTGATTTTGAGAAGTAGTAGCCACAGAACTAACATTCTTATAAGTTTTGAAATATGCTGTAGTTGGTGAGATTCAGGAAAAGCCCTCATCATATGCAAGTTTCTAAGAGAAAAAGAGTGTCTTTAAAACACAACAAACTCAGAGCATGCAGCCAAGCAGAAGGTAAATCCAAAGAAAATAAAACTTTGTTTGTTCTAATGGTAATGCCATTACTTATTCTGCAGGACAAAATGCCAGGCTGGCCAGCTGCTGACATGACACTGCTGAGGACAGACATGGCAGGAGTCTGCAAAAATTGTCTAGCAAGTTCAAGATCTTCCTGATGGGAGGAGTTGGATGTTTGATGTATTTGAATGTAGCAGTTCATATCAGTTACACCACAGTAAGTAATAAGTTTTTAATACAAAAAGCAGAGTCAAATGCAGCATTCCAGTTCCAGCCAAACTCCTATTTACTTTGAAAATTGAAAGAGATGACTTAGTTCTTGTGTGGTCTAATGCTATTTAAGTAGGATGTTGTGCCACTTTCTCACAAGCCAGAATGATCATTTGAACACAAAAGTAAAAATAATGGTCAGCTTATCTGCAGAAGCCAAAGAATTAAAAAAAAAAAAAAAAACCAACAAAACAAAAAAAACCCCAAACAAAACAAACAGAGAAAAACAAGGAAGTGATTCAAAACCAGTTCAGGGAAGAATTTTTTTCCAAACAAAATGCTGGTACATTTTTATTTTAAGGACAATGAAAACACCTCACACTTATGCTTGATCCTTCTGATATTAACTCCAGCATTTGCCAGACTAGGACATAAATACAATATATGGGGAAATTTGCAGTTATGATGCATTTTTTTCAACGCGGTGCACAGAAAGGTGCTGACCCTTAGTAGGATCGTTACTTTCAGTGAGATTTCAGCAACATGTTTTCTTTGTAGCCTGGAATCCCAAAGCAGAGCTATTGAGGGACAGCAGATCCCAGTGCTGCCTGCTAATTAGGAGCCCTACAAATGTAGGTCACAAAAACAAAAGCAATGCTTTTCCGGGAGAAGACAAATGTGTGATTTGTGAATGAAAAGCCAGGAAGTTTTAAAAGTGAAACAGAAGTAAATTCAATCAGGCTCTTCTTACAAATGAAAGCAGTGAAAACTCTCAGCCTTTAGCATTGAAAAGTAGAGAAGATTTTATTAACCCTTTGGTCTTCGAGATAAACTGAAACTACAGCCAATTAACATTAAAAATATGTTTTCCAGTGCTTACTAAAGTGAGGAATTTGTTTTAGAAATATCAAACAATCACAGAGCCAACCATTATATAGAAGAAATAGGAAAATAGAGGTATAATAGTCTCTTGTTCCCCTCATTGACATTAATCCACACTTTGCTAAGTACAGCTGTAGTCTGGCTCCCTTGTTCAGTACAAGACACACTTCAAACCTGTCACTGATTATTTAAGTTCTTCCAATTTGCTTTAATTGTGGAATATGTTTTAGGTTAGTTAAGCACTTTCACATGTGAAGATCCTTCCTTGGGAGAAAGGTGAGTGTTTGTTTTTAATCAAAATAATAATGTCTTCATTATGTGACTTCTGAAGATGCAATTATTCTCCCTTTTAGAGAGCTTGATAAGGTTTCTGATTATACAGCCTCAAAGATAATAAAAAGATTATAGAAGAGAGTTTACACCAGTATGGTTCTAATCTACACATGCTGAATAACTGCCCATTATTAAAAATCTGACATTCTATCTTACCCCTTACTGAAGTCAATGTAAGGGTCTTTTCCCTTATGTAAATTATATGTAGACTGATTTACCAAGCCATGTCTTCCTTCCCATCAAATAACATTTCTAATCATAATGAATGTCATTACTAAGTAGCACAGTAGGATGTTAGTTTGCTCTGCAATAACAATGCACTTGAATGGAATTTAGGGTACCTGTGTCAGAGATAACCCCTGCACTTGCTCTTTCTTTTTGCTGAGCAGAATTTTTTGCAAATGTCCATTCAGTACAATTTTTTCACCTTCTTAAACTCAATGAATTCTTGCTTTTTGCCATCTTAACAAAGTTGCCAAGAATTCTAAAAAGCTGTTACTCTTGTCTCTCTTTTCCACAAGTTCAGCTTTAAGAAGTTATTCTTCTGAATTCCTTTCCCTCATTAGTTTAATTGCAAAATTTAATTTTAAATAACAGTTATTAAAAGGCATTGATAGATCTGTCATAGAGACTACAGTAATCCCCCTCCCACTGTAGTTACTTTAACAGCTTAAAATATTCACAGTCAGAGTATAACCTATTTTATCAGCATATAAAAAGAAAAACTTGGCAACTTGATAGTTAAATAGATAAACTCACCATCTCTTCATCTTTTTTTTCCATTAAAACAGTGTTTCAAGAGCCAAATTATTTCATAGTCCTATCTAGAGTCCAGTATTTATGAGTTGCAACACAAGATAACTGGATTTTGTTGTGTGATACACCATAGCTTCTGATGTTAAGAAAACTTCCAAATGCCACAAATTAGTACCAAAATTCTGCCTAAGTCCAAAACGGTGATTTTCAAAACCCTTTGCTCAGTTGCTGCCAGCCCTGGGGGAAAATGCTCTGACTGAGTGACTATCTCCCAAGACCTAAGTGAGAACCATGGAACTGGGCTCTGTACAAAACGCAATAGAAGACACATGGGGTTTTTTAACTGACCCAAAATATTTCAGTATTTCATTAGATTAGAGCCCTCATCTTATGAAAAATACCTCATTTCCCTAAAAATGCTCAAGAACAATATTTCTACACAAATGGGGAGTATCTTGTCCATTCTCCCTATCAAATGGCCTGAGAAATTCTTATGGATTGTAGGGGGTCACATGTTTACTTCTCAGAATACTCCCTGTTCCACACACAGAATTTGCTTTTATAAAGACCCTGTATTCTGCTAATAGGATATATATACACGATACTTTTCTTCATGTTTTAAGAGTCAAATGTATAATGTTTTCTTGAAGTTTAATTCCAGTCTGTAATATACAGATAAATTTTTGAGACACTGTTAAATCGCAAACAGCCCTACAGACAGACACAGAAGAGGTGGCAAATTTCTTCCAAAGAAAGCAGCAAACAATTACCACATGTAGGTCAGGAGCACCATCAACAAAAAGAACTGGGGATATAAATAAAAGTCCACTGTATAAAACAGAAAGATGGAATCAAGCCAAAATTTTAATATTTCAGAGGTATTTACTGTAGCACAAAATATTTATACCTTAATCTGAAAATAAAAGTTATTTTACAAAGACTTGGGATATATAGAACAATTAGTTGCTTAATGAAATTAAACTTCACTATTTTTAGAAATTTAATTTTTAGTAGCGCATAATGCTATAGGTCTGTAGATAAATTAATGTGGTAAACAGCAAGGATTATTTTTGCCTTCTGACTTTAAAATGGGAACAAAATTATTTTCAAATATTAACAAAAAACAGGGAACTATATATCCTTAAGTTATATGAATGCTGTGCAAATAGAGACTTTAATGTAACAAGACTAATAAAGAACACACTTTCATTTCCAGAGGAACGTCTCAGGAAAACAAAAGAGAACAAAAAAAACTCTTCATAATATAGTGCAACACAGCAGAGCGCTAAGGAGGAAAAATAATTCTGGCTTGGAGTTTTGGGGCATTTTAATTGTGTAATGAGTCTTGAAATAAAGTAAGAGGTTTCAAAGGAGCAACTAGTAGCAGAAATCATTTTGAAAGATTAAAGTACAGCAGTAGCATCTTTCACATTTTTCTCTCAAAATTTTCATCATTCATTCTAGCAAAAGCATTTCTCCTTAGAAGTTTGACCTTATTTTTCCTTTACCTTCTCTCCCTCACATTCTCATTTTTTCTCAGACCAGACCAAGGAAAATGTAATCCATTTTCTCTTCCAGATGCTCAGCCATCTCTCTCCTATCCTTTGCTTTGATCTGTTACTATCCTCTTCAATCATTGCCTAACCACAGAGCTGCTATTTCTTTTGAACTTCAAGTTGAAAGTAAACTGATGTACAGATTAGGCTTTGGTGAATCTCTTGCTTTGTTAGAGATTAATTTTGGATCTTCTGGCAGACTGAGTTTTTGGATTTTCCTCTTAGGTTTCAATCAGGGTGTGATCTCTTATGAGAGAACTCCTTAAAGTGTAAGCTTGTAACTGATCTCGACCTGGGTAAAAGATGAAAAGATATTTTTTCTTTAATACTGTATTTCAGAATGATTCAAATCTTCATTTCTATGTGAAGAAATATTTTAAATTCTGTATTATAATTCCATAAGCTAACATCCTCTGCATGAGGGAAAAGATCCCTATCGACATCTCTTAAATATTCCCATTGCCCTTAAAACATGAGCACCCTTCCCATTCTACTATTCAAAATCCCTCAAAAGGCTGAAGTTTTCAGAAATAAAGTATTTGTTTTCAGCCTCAACAGGAGACAAATTTGAATTACATCTGTCATTGAACTGTCAGAATTGTGGATAAAAAAGCTGCCGTAAAAATAATTTCTTTTCCATCTTTCCTTATTCTTCTCCCTCACTGACTCGTGCAGCATTTGGCCGTGCATAGGCATATAAGAGTTTGTTTCTTAATATCTCATTTGTCTCTTGTCTCATTCTATTGTCCCTTGGTTGCCAATTCAGGAAGTATCTCTTTCGAGAATTTCTTTAGCACAAATTACACATGAACTAATTAAAGTCCATTAGAAATTTGTGCTAATAATTGTTCCTGTCATCTAGATGTGCAAAATGATGGCAACCTCACCTTGTACACTGCACAGACATTTTCAATTATAATTGAAAATTGTACTTTTGTACAAATTGAATTGTACAATTGAAAATATTACAACATGCTATGGTAGTAACACAACCACCAACCTAACCACTTCTTAAACTTATAAAGAGATGATTCCATTAAACTGGGTAAGGATGTATTTCCTTGTATCTGCTAAAGATTGTATTGCTAAAACTTCTTTAATCAGATGCCCATATTGACATCTTCTCAAGAAGAGATTAGGAAACTGAAAGGATCAATCTTTAGGAGTTCTTACCATTGACCTAACCTTGTTCATGTTATTGATTACAATTTCTTTTCAAATATTTTTTCACCCAACTAAACTTATTTCACTTAAGATGCCATTTGTATTGAAATTATTATTGTGAGAGAGTCTATTTTCATAAGCTCTTCAAAGTCATCCCTTTTAATTCTACAACAGAAGGCCAAAGGAAAGCTCTTTGAGACATCTACTTCATTTGCTTTATCACTTTTTTTTTGCTTATCAAATGTTAAGGGAGCATTTTTATTAAAGTTTTTCCACACTCTAGCCACATGTAGAACAGTTCTTTTACCAGTAAACATTTACAGATATCTCATCACAGAAGTGGGAGGACCATTCTTAGGAATGTTGATCAGTGGGCTACCTTCACAGGATGGTGATCTGTTATGTCACATGTTTAGCTAATTCTACTCTTAACAAATAAATAAATGTCCCCAAATTAATGAATTCTTAAGCATGACTACATGTCTGCATGTCTAAACAATTATAACACTTTCTCCAGATAAAAAATTTCTCATGAGCAGCAGTTGTCCTATACAAAGAGTCCTTCAGGTCTTATACTGGTAAATAATTAAGAAATAAGGACTGTGTATCACTGATCAATTTGGTGGATATGTGCCTTTCATAACACAGCAGAATTATACTGTCATTTTATAGGTCAAGTATATATTAGACTTTAACCTTCTGTGAAAAAGAAAAAAACAACAAAACAAGCAACAAATCACAAAGCATACACATGAATGGCTATGTTTGTCAAAGTCTGAAAAATTACTAGATTCTCCTGGGAAATTATGTCAGTTCCTACACAGTTATATGTCACCACTATACAGTAGACTTTTAGGTGAGAAATTAAAGGAGGATTCCTCTGCTGACAGGTAGTAGCCATTAAATCTCCAGGCAGGGAAACATAAGTGCTAAAATGTTCTATGAAGAGGCAACCAAATATCTCAGGTCAGAAAATGAGTCAATCTCAAAGTCTTCCAGCTAGCAAAGCAGCTTAGAAATTTTCTTTGTCACCTCATGTCCCTTCTCTGTAGCACATTTGGCTGTTTCCTCTCCCAAAGATTTCAAATAAATTGAAAGCATAGACAGAATTTACATCCAGACATTCAGTCCAAAAATTTCCTCCGCTGTTACCCCAGAGACCTTGAACTAGGCAGCTGTAGAAATCCTACTTGTAGGTTTGGACTGTCCTCTACTTAGAAACCCTGTTTTAGCTATCAAGTGTTCATATTCCTATGAAGCTTTTCCCGTTCCACCACTAAGTCTGCTTTTCCTGAAATGGTCTGTTTTGGCTTCAGTCTTTACCCTGGTATTTGACAATTGACTCCTTAATTACATCCGTTAGAATAGCTGGTGGATTTTTAACTTCTGAATTGCTATAGTATTGGATCTCATTAAGTCAAGGTGCAAGGTCAGTAAATGCCCTCCTTGATTTGATATCAAATGCAATTGAGTACATACATTTAAAATAAAATATAAGAGGTGTCTTATATGCCCACATAACTCTATGACCTTGGTGTAAGAAGCATGTTGCCAAACCCTGATAAAGGGGATGAGGACATGAACTACTGGGAGTCTCTCTGCAGACTCAAGGCAACTCCATATGGTACAGGTGTTATGATCCTGATTCCACAATGACTCAAATACTGAAAAATGACTGACTCTTAGAACCTGTGTGCTTTGGGATGGACTTTCCACTGCACTGGACCAATGTTAGGCTGATATGAGGACAAAGGAGTCTTTACTGTCATGGCACTAATATAAAGATGAAAAAATAAGAAGCACAAAAGAAAGGATTATGCAAATCTTAAACTGCCTCAGACACAGGAGAAGTGAGAGTATATTGCAAACCAGAGTCCTCATAGGCAGAAACAGAAAAAAGTCCCAATAAGTACTAAAACCAGCCAACCTAACTACCAAAGTTGTTCCTTAATATTAGCAAAAAATATACACAATTCCACTGTTCAAAATAAGTAATGCAGTAAATCTGTCTAGACTGTATCACAGTTTGGATCCCATGCCATTTTTCCTATACAGGAAGAGCAGCACTACAGGCCATGAAATAACTGTCACCAGAATAGGTCAGGAATGCACTCGGACAGATAATAGATAGGAAATGACAAGTTGCCCTCCCTGATTTTGCTGCAGTACACAGGACTTCAGGTAGATTACTTCCTCTTCATCCTTTCAGACGTGATCACATTGTGCTGGAATAACCCCAAAGAAATATAAGTCAGTACCATTTCTGATAAATCTTCTGAGCATAATTTGCTAGATTAGTTAATCAGAAAGTACTTTATAGCTTGTGATCATTTAGAACTAACATAACTCCTAATTAAAATACAGAAAACTAGAAAAGAATTGGAATGTTTTCAGGCATCTCAAGAGCGAAAGGAACTATTACTGAAATGCGTATCAAAATGATTAAATTTATTAGCGGTTTCACAAAAAAGGACCAATAATTTTGACTCAAAAAAAAAGGTAAAAAAAGAAAGTTGTGCATCCAGCTGAAGTAATTGAAAAAATCA